TTTTTCGTTCTGGATGCAGACAACTACTCCAGAATATAAAGCTTATCAAGAACAAGTCTTGAGCAATAGTTCAAAGTTTGCCAAGGTATACTCGATTTAAAATCCGTAAGTACTATGCATCATCAAGCATTAAAAACTGAAAACTCTTAATCTGCAGACTTTGGCTGAGAAAGGATACGAACTTGTTTCTGGTGGAACTGAGAACCATTTAGTGCTGGTAAATTTGAAAAACAAGGTAAAAGCATTAAACCTTTTGTTCTTTCTTCGCAATGTTGCTGCAAATAACATGATTCTTTGATAACATTGCGTGTGAAAGCAATATGTACTTTTTCTAGGTTAATTGCCAGGAACATAATTCTCTGATTCTTGCTTTGATACTGTGTTATCAAATTCCATTTAATTTATTAATTTAAAAAACTTCTGTATTTGGGATTCTTGTAAAATTAAACAAGACTACTTGATAACGTAGTTAACCTTGTATAGGGTATTGATGGCTCTAGAGTGGAGAAAGTATTGGAATCTGTCCACATTGCAGCCAACAAGAACACTGTGCCCGGAGATGTATCTGCCATGGTTCCTGGTGGCATCAGAATGGGTAATTTAAAAACTAAAGAAAAAAGAACTCAATTACCAAGTTACCTTTTTATGCTTCAAAAACCACAGTGTTACTTGTTTTTAACCTGCAAACTGTACCAAACTAAAGGTTACATTTATTCAGCAAAGACAGTCATGATGAGGAGGTAGCAATTCTCTAAGCTAGCATTTGTAAATACCAAAGGAAATTTTATTTTTTTTTTCTTTTCCTTTTCCTTTTCTCTTTTTTCACAAAAACCCAGGAACCCCGGCACTTACTTCCAGAGGGTTTTTGGAGGAGGATTTCGTCAAAGTTGCCGAGTTCTTTGACGCCGCTGTACAATTGGCTATGAAAATCAAGGCTGAGACAAAAGGTCACACTTACCCCATCTTGAGAGCTTCATAGCCGTTAAATCCTCTGTTGGGTTTCATTCTTTCAACTTCTCTTATATTATTCCAGGGACAAAGCTTAAGGACTTTATGGCCACAATGCAAAATAGTGCTTCATTCCAGTCTGAGATTGCAAAACTCCGCCATGATGTGGAGGAGTACGCCAAGCAATTCCCCACTATCGGGTTCGAGAAAGAAACCATGAAGTACAAGAACTAAATGACATATCACTCTACAGGCCAGGTACATGCACAGTTAGTATTAGCATATTGTACGGTGAGAGATCCACATATATGCTGCCTAGGTTGGATTTTTGCTTCGAACTATAGTTTATATTGATTTCTCTAAGAATTCTTGTGTAAAAATGGCAGAGATTGGAGATGGACGAGGAGAAGGGAATAAGATGATAAGATAAGGATTACCTTTTGATATTTACCTTACCTCCTTTAATATCAAATCTACCTCCATCTTAACCTTGTTTCAAAATTTTATCCCAAAATCCCCTTATTATTCAATTGTCTTCCTTCTCATCTTCTTCTTCACATTCAAGATTCTTTTCTTTTCATCTTTTGTTGCATCATCTCTTAAAAGAACAAAAAAGGATATGCAACTCACACCACAACATGAAATTAGTTTAACACCCTAAAGAGATAAATAATATTTGCAAAGTTTTCTTGTGTTATTCCACTTTGTTTGCAAATTTTAGAATTTTTTGTCTTCCATGAATTTAATTTGTTATAACCAGAAAGTTAAGGATTAAAAAAAAAAATGAGTGAAAAGACAAATGAATAAGAGTTCAAACAAATCGAGAAGGCAAAAGTTCAGTTGACGGCTGGGTGGATGGAGAGGAACAGTGGAGGGTGTGGGTGCAGGAGAGAGGTGTTAAACAAAAACAGGTTTTATAACTATTAAGTATTTCTGTAAAATCAATTTAAAAGGAGGTATTATTAGATTGAGAGGTGCATATAGCAAAAGTTTAGGACTTGCTGTTTTGTTATTTTCAGTGGGCCCAAATTAGAACGATGATGCCTTTTGGGCTTCTCATTAATTAATAAACCAAATTCCAAAACGACATCATTGTATCTATATTAAATAGTAAGAGTGTTGTTATGTAGATCTAATGACTAGACAACATTACTTCTTCAACCGATAAGCTTACTTTTGAATTGAAATGTGGTATTTCATAAAATAACATAAACAAAAGTATAAACAAAAGTATGACATTTCATAGCATAAGTATGCATTTTTGTTAAATAAGTATGATAGGTCAATACATTATATATTGTGAACAAAAATAGAAAGCGAAGCCAAAATAGTGAAAATTCACTCACCCATTTCATGTTTGAGCACTTCAGCCAAAGAAATCGAAAAGGGTATGCCCTCAAGGCCAATTTACTTCAACATTTTTTTTTTTCTTTCTTTCAGTTAAGCTAATAGGAGTGTTTTGTGTACTATAAAAATTTCCTTCATTTGTTCTTGTCTTGGCTCATAAATATTCCTGCGGAGCGTAGGTTATCTATTTTGAGATTGTGTAGTAACTTGTATTATGACTTTTCAAATGGGGGCAATTCATAAATTTATTCCTAGGGGTTTCTATAAATTGAAATATTTATTTACAATTTTTATATCTAGCATTAATTGAAGTTAAGCCGGGTGATCTTTTGGGGCATATTTTCATCCATTATGGTATATGCATGCAAGTTTGTGAGATATGGGTGTTGATTATTTGTTAAAGCATGTTGAAATGAAAGAGAGAATTGGTTTGGGCTGGGAATGAGTTTTGCTGATCAGTGGGTGAGTGTATTATTATGAATGCAAAAGAAATATTAACTTATAAAATGTCATAAATATACTTAGGGGTGTGTTTAATGAACGATGTTGAAAAATAAGATGAAAAATAGCTGTTCATCGTGTTTTCAGGCATGAGAACATAATGATGGAAAGTGAACGGAGATGAGTTCTTGAAGTTGCATCCTAATGATTTGTGATTACGAGTGCTTTATGCGCGAAAGAAGTCCAGATTTTTTTGTTCTTATTTCGGAGCCTCTATTTGGATGTACAATAAGGACGAATCATGCTCAATGTGATACGCTGAAAAAAACCTTTTTATATGATTCCGGTTTGTTTTAAACTTTGATATGAGGGGTTTAATTTTTACTATCTTATTTACTAAGGTTTCTCAAGTTAAATGACGTAGGTTTGTGAGATCTTTTAAGTTGAGCCATTTCTCGATTTAGGCGTGCCATCCTTGCGTAGGGGTCATGCTTATCTTCTCTGTATCGTTCTACTTTTATCGGATGTCCCCGAAGGGATTGAGATCTTTAAGTTGAACCCCTTGCTTCTTGTGAGATAGATTTCTTTTCACCCACCGGATACTCGCTCAATCATTTTTGGGAGCTTAGTTTTTGTGGAAATAAAAGTGCCATACACTTGATGCCATTTATGGCCCTATGTGTGTTCAAAATATCATTATTATACCTTTGAAACTAGACAAAAATAGAGCCCCTTTGTCATCCCTTTGCCATTTGATGTGGTTTCAATCTAGAGTGAAATCTAGCTTTTATAGTTTAGTTACTATATAAATTTGTATTCAAATAAATTTAATTTAGTAAGGAACACTTTCTTAATAAGGTGAAACTTATTTCATAAGCTTCTCTATGATGTGGCTTTTATGAGAACAACAATTTGTTACTAAATTTTTTAATTTACTGATCAACTTTGTGTTCAGTCTCTAAGTTATTTTTTTATTTTTTATTTTTCCAGCATTAGTGAGCATCCCATGCGATGCATGGGCGACCATGTTTATAATATTTTTTTAAAAGTTTATTTTAATAAAATAGCTTATATTTAAAAATAGTAGTAAATTAAGTACATCTATGTGTGCTGGAGGTAAAAATAGTAGTTTATATTTAAAGACGATTACGAGCACACTTTTGTAGGAAAAATAAATGCATATGTTCTTTAAAAGTGTTGAATTTTTTAACCATGTGCTACAGTACAACTTGCTTGTGTTTTGATTCTTAGTATATTGTTCAGTATATTGTTGTGTGTTTCATGTTTGGATGATAGGAGCGCGAATGTTCACCTTTACCGTGTGATTTTAAATTTTATCACGAGGCAAACTTTATTTACATCTTTACAAATTTCATGCCAATTAATTGCAAAGATGCACCAGATTATGGGATCTTCAATTACCAAATAAAATGTCCGCCTCCCCTTTAAGTTCCACAGATTATGAGATTTTCGATTAAAAAAATGATTCAATACGGTAAGATTATATCCGATAAAATATGATGATGTTTCACTACAAATAGAAAGAAAAAGAATTTGATTTTCAAACTATATCATCTTTAAAATATATATGTGACGGAAACATGAAACTTTTGTCACGTCATCTGCCCACGGGCTATGTGTTGCATGTCGTAGAATTTGTAGTTACAACGAACTATATGTTGCATTTATAGTCAGTAAAGTTTTTCAGCTCTCAGGTGTTTTAAATGGACGGTATATATTTCGTTTATAGTAAGCATATATTTAGTATATACTGCGTTTTTTATTTACATAACATTTTTATCTAATCACAATTGTGATGTTTGAATTTTCGTTCATTATATACATATTCTAAACTGATCATAATCATTATTTTAATTAACTATTTTAGTATATGTTGAGTTATATGATACAAAATACAAAGGTCACTGACTTAAAAAAATGTTAATCAATTGAATAAAAATGGGTTCATGGGAAAAGAATAAAAATAGTAATGGTAATGGAAGAAAAGTTATACATCCTAACATAACCAAAATAAAATTTTGGATTATATTCATATCATAGACTACTTATAGCAACAAAGTATTGTGGGAAACGAACAGTAAAATACACTATCGATGAGAAACAGATGCATTAAGCCTACAAAAACACATATTGGAGATATATTGTCTATACACGCAACATATACTGCCGACATCTCCTCGAGAGAGAGAGAGAGAGAGAGAGAGAGAGAGAGAGAGAGAGAGTGGAAAAAATAAATTCCATTAAATTAAGGTAGTTACTAATTATATGTAACTACCTTAATAATTATTCTTAAAAAAGGTGAGTTAAATTTTAAGAAAATATGGTATGTATGTAAATATTTATGTCAAATTTTGTATGTTTGCAAATAAAAAATTACTTGTACAATACCCATGTACTACATGGGTGGTTGATAAAATAATTAAATGTACAATAAAAGATATATATTTTGTTGAAGTTGGAAAAAAATATATAAAGAACAATATATAGCAATTTATAATAAATAACTTAGTGAATTAACAATATTATTTTAAATTATAAAAACTAATTTATATACATGATTAATTTTATTTATAATATTTTTATTTAAACCACATAATGGTATAATATGAACAATTCACAAAATTTGGAAAGTAAGATTATATTCATATTATAGAAAGAACATAATAAATAGATTTATATGTAATGATTTAATATATTAAATATGCGTATATATATAATAATCCGAACCTAAGTTATTTGGTATAAAAATAGTAATTTTTATCCAAGTCATATTACAAAGCATAATATTTTTCCATGTAAGATTATGAAGCGTGCGAATCTGCCATTTAGGCTCAGCGCGTTTCGAGATCTATAGTAATATAAAGATGTTTTTGGAGAAATATATTTATAGTAAGTTTTACTAAAAAAAATTAAATAGTTTGACTTCCTATGAGTGGAAATTTTGAAAAAACACATGTTAATCTTTATGAATCAAGTTTAATTGAGATATCCCAAAAAACTTGGAGATTCTTATGGTAACAAATTTAGAGATTTTTATACCAAAATTTAATTCATTTTTTAAATATTAATCCATTAGGATGAAGTTTTGGAGATTTTTATGGTAACAAATTTAGAGATTCTTGTACCGAAATTTAAGTCATTTCTTATATATTAATACCATAGGAATCCCATTTTATTGGTAACAAATTTGGAGTTTCTTATGCCAAAAGTTTGAGATTTTGAATTTAGATATCTCAATAATTACGGATTTTTTTTTTCCATTCAAATTAAAGTTGTAAATCAAACAAAAAATTGTTTCGAGAATAATGAATGTTATACTAAATATTGATAAACTCCAATCCTCCATAAACTATTTATATTTATGAATTTTGTATGTAAATATATTGATTTGCTTTTCGTAAATCTGTTACTATATAATAGAGAGA